TAAATCCACATTTGATAGTAGATGATCATCCGTTACCTACAACCGATGAATTATTTGCTACTATGGCAGGGGGTAAAAAATTCACAAAAATTGACTTAAAACAAGCTTATTTACAATTAGAACTTAGACCGGAAGACCAACATTTACTTACAATTAACACACACAAAGGACTATTTCAGTGTACAAGATTATTGTTTGGTATTGCCAGTGCTCCAGCTATTTGGCAAAGGGAGATGGAAAATATCCTAAATGGCATTCCGGGAGTTTCAGTTTTCCTTGATGATATTAGAATTACTGGTCCTGACGATTTGATCCATTTACAAAGATTAGAAGAAGTATTAAAAAGACTTCATAAATATAATATAAAAATTAACACAGATAAATGTGAATTTTTTAAAAAAGAAATAAATTATTGTGGATATAAGATCGATGCAAAGGGAATACACAAATGTAAAAATAAAATTGACGCTATCGATAACATGCCCAGACCGGCAAATAAAAGTGAATTGCGTTCTTTTATTGGAATGATTAATTATTATGGAAAATTTATAAAAAACTTAAATACAATTTTATACCCTTTAAATCAATTATTACGAGAAAATGTTTCATTCACGTGGTCAAAAGAATGTGAAGAAGCATATTTATTAGCAAAGGAAGAATTTAAATCCGATACAATTTTAGCACATTACGATTCTAATTTACCACTTACAGTGGCTACAGATGCAAGTTCATATGGTGTAGGAGCTGTACTTTCACAAATGCAGCCTGATGGTTCAGAAAGAGTTATACAGTACGCATCTCAAACACTAAACGATACACAAAAAAAATATTCACAAATTGATAAAGAAGCTTACGGTATAATATTTGCAATAAAAAATTTCATCAATACTTATACGGAAATAAATTCATATTAATTACAGATCATCAACCATTAGTACAAATTTTCTCTCCAACCAAACCTTTACCAATTTACAGCGCAATGAGAATGCAACATTACGCCTTATTCCTACAAGGATTTAATTACGATATTAAATACAGAAATACAAAAAATCATTCAAATGCTGATTGCCTTTCAAGACTTCCACAATCACATACGTGAGAATTACAATTTGATGTAGTAGATGTTTTTCAAATACAAACGATAGAGACGTTACCAGTAAATATCGCTGAACTACAAAAAGAATCAGTGAGGGATAAGGAATTAAGTACAGTGATAAATAAATTACAAAAAGGTGAGCTAAAAGAATCTATATTATTTTTCAAAATTTAAGCAAATATCAAGGTTGACAACTTACCAGTGTAGTTAGCGGAGATCACAACCCTCGCAAAACTGTAGGGTCGCGGACGTTACAGTAAACAACACGTTTTGTTGTACATCTGTGTTGTACTCGTCTATAATATTGTAAATAAAAGAAAATGTAACTAAATAGTATGTTATATAACAGAAAACACAGAATTTATATTGCTTTTACTCTCATGTTTCAACACTGCTGCTGTACATAGCAAGGACTTTAGAGCCGTTTGCATTGAGGGCTTAATGCTGATTGTTGTTGACATTAAATGCCAAATGAAAAAGTGACAAGCTGACAAGTTATTAGAAAAACATTCTGATTCAGAATCAGAATCGAGAGAAATTATGATTGGGGGTATGTCTTCATATGGTGCATTACCCATTAAACGCTTCCAATCATCCCTGATCTGCCGTTCACAATGTCTAATAAAATTTTGCCATTTGTCTGCACCTACTGTAGCAAGAGCCTCCCGCCATAAGGACTGTACAACACCAATAGCACCACCGTGTTCCCGAATATGTTTATTGTAATATAGTTTACACTGTCTCCACGCCAGTTCAATTGGATTATACTGACAGTGGTAGGAATATTGAAAAATAGGTGGATAATTCCTCTTGCTCTCGTCACTGCCATACCATTTATCCTGGGCATATTTATAAATCTGTTCCTTTAGGATCTCTGCTGGGTGCTTTTAAGTTGTTCTTCTAACTTCCCCACTCCGTAAGAACATAATCTATCATAAATATTGCGATAGAACGCGCTCATAGAAACGATTCAAAATTAATGCGGTTCTTGACGTCTCAAGTGACAGATCAGTCACTATTGCATTGTCGATAAAGTAAAATAAGGAGGTGTAAAAAAATACTAAACTACACAGTTAAGAGTAAATTTTTGGGTTTTGCGTGTCCTTGACCTTCGCGCCCATTTTGAAAAATAAGTTATTTAATATAGACATAAAAGAATTTAGTGTACAACAAAATATTTTATTACGAGGACACCGAGTAGTTTTACCAAAGACACTACGAAATCGCGTGTTACAAGAATTACATTTGGGGCATTTTGGCATCGTGAAAACGAAGGCCTTAGCTCGCAGTTATTGTTGGTGGCCAAATATCGATCGCGATATTGAGAATCTTATTAAAACTGTAACGCTTGTCAACAAGTTCGTAATAACCCAAAAAAAGTAGAAAATCACATTTGGGAACCGGCTAGTGCTCCATTTGAGAGAGTACATTTCGATTTCGCAGGACCTTTCCATAATAAATATTTCGCAATTTTAATTGACGCATACTCAAAATTTCCATTTGTAAGAATATTATCAGATATTGCAACACTGAGTACAATAAAATTTTGCAGAGAAATTTTTGCAACATTTGGAATACACCCAAGTTTTTGTAAGTGATAATGGTACACAATTATGTTCACATGAATTTAATAAATTCCTTTTTAGTAACAATATTATTCATAAAAGAATAGCGCCGTTCAATCCTGCAACTAACGGACAAGTAGAAAGATTTGTACAAAGTCTGAAGAAAAGTCTAGTTAGTTTAAATATAGATTCCCGAAATACAGATGAGGTAAATCTACAAAGAATGTTAATGCATTACAGAATTACACGACATAGTACAACTAATAAAAGTCCTTCAGAATTATTGTTCGGTAGACAAATTCGAAACAGATTAGATTTAATGTTACCAATTGCAATTTCAACGAAAATAAGTAATGTTAACAAAAATAATAAAATTAGAACTGTATCAGTAGGTGATAGAGTACAGTGTAGAAATTATACGTCAAAACAAAGATGGTGTGTAGGAAAAGTTATTAAAAGATTAGGAAAATTACACTATTTGATTCAGCTAGACGATAATCGTACCAGGAAACGTCACATTAATCAAATTATTAAATTGCCTTTAAATGATAATCAAAAAGTCCATTTCGACACAGTGTTCTCGAGAAACAATGTACCGCCAAGTAACCAAGTTGATAACTACATTTCACCTATGCTTACACCTGGTATACCTGATGGAAGAACGTTACCAAGGTTTCCAAATTCAAATAATCACAATGTTCCAAGTGAAACTAGACAGGTTTCTGAAGTAACCAATGTTACATTTAGCGAAGATATTGTAACCAGTCCGGAACCAACGCCGGTAGTTAGTCAACCCAGCATTCCACAAATAGTCGCAGAAACGAGGCCCAAAAGATGGAATAGAGGTTGCTTACCGAGAACATTATTAGATTTCGAAGTAGGAAAGTAGAAGTGAAGAAAGTTGGGAATTTGAAGTTGTCCTGACAGGAGAGGGTGTTAGATATCTAGTTTGTTTATATTAGCAATGTTAGATATCTAGTAGGATATATTGACTTACTTTTGTTATGTAAATAAATAACTAGTTACGAGAATTGAATATATAAAATAACACTCCAATTTGTACGGACGATAAATAAAGAAATTTATCCAATACACCGTTTATTATACAAACATAACAAATATATCATCTACGGCCCCAAGAACATTTGGGAGACCCGCCATTCTTCGGAATTTTTCTTTGACTTCTACTAGTCTGTTACCAGAGGGCCAACAAATTACTCTTTGTGATACTACAGAGAGCACTTATGACACGTACAAAACACGCCGATAACGAAGATTTTCCTAAATCAAACCTGTCTCCTACAGACCTATAATATTTAAACACACCTATATAGCTAAACCAATTTTTATCATTGCTCTGTAAAATTTTATTACCTATAACTATGAATCCGGAGTTGCCAATAGTCAGACGACTGCTAACAGTTGTTTTTCAACATCTATGGTAAATCTTCCTTTACTGTTTTTACGCGTCAATAAAGGACCAATAATTCGATTACTCCGAAATGTTGTTGGAATTGTGAAGCTGTGAAATTTCGAATAGTTCCTTCAACGTAATTTTTTATTCTGATTGGATTCCTTTTACGTTTTTTTATTAAAAGAATAACAGCAATCACTTCGTCTTCGGTTTCACTACCACTTTCTGCATCACTTAAAATCATATCTTTCATTATATTATCACTGGTAAATAAAATCGACGCAGCCACTTCCATGGCGTAGCTTTTAAAATAAATTATTTTAAAACTTGATAATTAATAATATATATGTTGTATATGACACTTATGACAGCACAAAGTTTCCGTAGTCGTTCAGTATTCTTTTTACCTCGGTAAGGTGACGTCATATTACCGGAGTGACCATTACCTTACTATCGCCGAGAATTTCTGAACGCACCCCTGACAAGACGTAACGTGTTTTCGCGCGCGGTGAGTAAATTTTTTACCTAAATTTAGTTCTTAATTGTGAGTAGAATTGTTATGTTTTTGACAAAATGGTGATGATTAATTAATGTTAACATTGTTTATTTTGAGCTTTAATTGTTATATTTCTCAAACTAAATTAGAATTTGTATAAAGTTGTATTTTAATTTTGTGCAAAGGCATGGGGTGCATTCGGACAGCCAGACAGGGGGCACATTCGTACGCGTACGAATGCTCCCCTTTAGATTTTATTAACTACCAGTATATTAAAATTCAATTTTTATGAAATAAAATATAGTATTATCTTTTAAAATTATCGTGTAGACAGCAAAATAACATATTTTTCCTTTTATAAAGTATTCTTGTTCTAACAAAATGAAATATTTTTATTAAGTCAATCTTATAATTATTTTTTTATTGCAGAATCATGGTGCGAAAATATAAAAAAAGGGTACGCGTACTCAACAAGTGGATGAAGAGTCCATGAATTTAGCAATTGATGATGTGATACAAGGACGGTTGTCGTATAGGAAAGTCGCGTTAAAATACAACATCAAAACACCAACGTTGGAAAGCAGAGTTGAGAAATTTAAAGATGGCTCTAACGCCGATGGACCCTCACGAACTTTTCATTCAAAATTCACGAGTCTACAAGTCTTCTCTTTGGAAGAAGAGGCACGCTTAAATGACTATAGTACTAATTGCTGCAATATGCATTATGGGCTAACGATAGTACAAATTCGGAAACTTGCCTAGGAATATGCAAAAGCGTTGAATTTAAAATATCCAGCGAAATGGGACGAAAATCAAATGGCTGGCATAGGGTGGATGCGTAAATACAGGGAACGAAACACCAACTTTAGTCTGCGAAAGCCAGAGAACACTAGCGCTGCTCGATCATTCGCGTTTAATAAGAATGCAGTCCAAGAGTTCTATAATAATTTGGCTGAAGTGTTACGGCGACATAATTTTGCTACCGACAGGATATTTAACTTGGATGAGTCCGGCGTGTCTACTGTTTTAGAAACTCCTAAAATTTTGGCTCCTAAACCACAGAAACAAGTGGGACAAATCGTGTCAGCGGAAAGAGGCGAATTGATAACATTTGGTGCTATTATTTCTGCAAGTGGAAATACTATCCCTCCGCTATTTGTATTTCCACGGGTGCACTACAAAGACAATTTTCTTGAAGGTGCGCCTGAAGGAAGCCTCGGAGCTGCTAATAGAAGTGGGTGGATAAATGCTGACATATTTGTTTCAGTATTAAAGCACATTCAGAAACACACAATAAGCTCTAAAGAACATCTGATTTTACTGCTATGTGATAATCACGAAAGCCACATCAGCTTACAAGCTATAACATAATGCTCGAGATAATGGCATCATTTTTGTGTCTTTTCCGCCGCACACAAGTCATCGATTGCAACCTTTAGACGTTGGAGTGTTCGGCCCATTCAAGGCAAAGTTGAAAATAGCGTCGAATAATTGGCATATGTCGAATCCTGGCAAAACAATCAACATTTATAATATTCCTAAACTGGTAAAACTTGCATATTTCGAATCTTTTACCGCAAAAAATATTACAAGTGGATTTGAAAAGCCAGGTATATGGCCGTTCAATGAAATGGCCTTCAGCGATGAAGATTTCGCTCCCACTGACGTGTATGCTTCAAATAATTCGGTAAATGTGCCACCTAATCTGGAAACAAGTACTGTCGCTCTAGAACCACAACCTTCCGCCAGCGTGCCATCGGCTGATATGAATGAGTCGGATATTCGTGAGCAGTCGCCTTCTTTGCTCCAAAATCCTCAAGACATTGTTACCGGAACTGGCGAACCTTCCACCTCTGCGGTTAATGCACAATCTGAATCAAGTTCTTATCTTCCAATAACACTAGAAGTCATAAGACCTTATCATACAGCTGTTAGAAACAGAAAAACCAATAAAGGAAGAAAGTCGGGTAAATCCCGTATATATACAGATACACCTGAAAAAACTGAACTAGAAGAGAGACATAGACAGAAAGAATTGAAAAAAAATAGAACAGGAAAGGAAAACCAGAGCCAAAGCAGTGAAACGAAGTTTGAAGGAACTTAATTCAAGACAAAAGAAAAAGAAAGCTAAGAAAATAGAAAGCAATGATGATTCAGGTGAATCTGAAGGATCGCAATTTAGCTTGCGGGAGAGTTCAACATCTCCAGTTGATTTAGACTTGGACAAAAAGACTGATGATCTTAGTATCAATAATAATTTAAATGTAACACCAGAGAAAATCAAAGATAACTGTTATGTTTTGGTAAAGTTTGAAAAAAAGACTTCTGTTGTCTATTATGTCGGAAAAGTTTTCAGTCATTATTCGGATACAGAGATGAAAATAAATTATCTTCGGAAGAAACCGGGATAATCATGGTCATTCTTTTTCCCTGATATAGAAGACATACACACTTTGTATAACAGCGATGTCGCCATGATCCTCCCTGATCCTCAACCACGAACGGGCTATACATTCAGAATGGCTAGAATTTTTACTTTTGCAGTTAATTTAAATAATTATAATGTGCAATAAGTTCCAAAGTAACAACCAAATGTATAATTACCTACTTTATGTTTAAATTGTCAAAGACTGTACAACGATGTCATACAAAATGATTGTAAACATCTCATTTAGACTGATTGTAAAGCTTAGAATTATCAATAAGTAAACTAAGGATGAACGATTTTATTTTTTGTTATTTTTCTAAAGAAAGATTTATCGACTATGAGTCAAGTTACAAATTATTAAGTTAGTTCTTTGATAAATAAATATTTTTATAATATAATAAATAATAAAAATTTAACGACGTTAATTGCCTTTTTAATTTCCTCTATGAATCTACCCCATGCCGTACGAAAGTACCCCGCCTACTGTACGAACGTACCCCGTACGTGGGGTACGTTCGTACAAATGTCTTATCATAGAAAAATAGCTATAACCCTTTAACCTTTTGACATAAAAGTTTCGAACTTTGTAACAAACTACAATATATTTGTTATACTTAGGTACATAAACTAGATAAATTCGACAATTAATCATAAAGTAAAAAAAGTAAATCTAAAAAGTATATGAAAGGTAACCACTTTCCCCTACCTCCACGTGTTCGTAGCCCACTACGTCACCTGCAGTCCGCAGGTCAGTCTGTATAGCTAAAGTGACCCCTCTAGTCTACTTATTTATTTTTCTTTGCAGTATAGTAGATTCGTTGCCTTGTAGTTAACATCAGCGAGTCACCGGCTTGCTCGACTAATAATCCGTTCGAAGGGGGTAACTAGTCGGTCACACAGGTTACTGGCGCCCTTATCAATATTTAACATCACCCATTTTTGGACCTGCCCTTCTCCACTGAGCTACCGAGGACACCTCCTTCCGACGAAGTCGACGATAGGATCGACGAGTTTGCTGCACGCCAATTAAAAGCGTAGCTGTACGAAAACAGTTGGATTTCGATGGGCAGAAAACTTGGGGCTACACTGACTATGGAATTGCATTTGACAGTGATTCTTTCGAACTGGCCACTGAAGCTCTAGTTTTCATGGTGGTATTACAAAATAATGCACACTGGAAAAATCCAGTTGCATATTTCTTAATTAAAATATTAACCGGTCAACAAAAAGCCAATATTATCAGGGACTGTCTCATTCGTCTACACAACATAAATGTTGTTGTTACCTCCGTTACGTGTGACGGACCAGCGTCACATTTTACGATGTTTAAGGAGCTGGGATGTAACTTTGATGACGTACACAATCTGCAAACTTCGTTTCCCCATCCCTCTCAAGAAGATGTTAAAGTGTTTGCCATATTGGACGCATGCCATATGTTGAAAATGATTCGAAACATGTTGGCCTGCTTGGCGACATAAAATATCAAGGGAGGGTGGTAAGCTGGCGTTACATAAAGAAACTACATGAATTACAAAATGAAGAATTTCTAAATGTGCAAACAAGTTGAAAACGGCACGTTTGGAGTGGCGATAACATAAAATGAAAGTAAGTTGTTTTCTTGACAATATTCCTTATTGACATTAATATAATTAAGTCCTGTTATAGGTGAGTTTAGCAGCACAAACTCTTAGCAAGAGTGTGTGAGAGTGATATTCTCAATTCCCGAAGTGTACGTGCTAAGAATTTTAAGGCACCTTTGAGAGAAAACAATGAAGAAATGCGGCGTCCATTTGTCACCGACACCAATGAGTATCTCCTGAATTTGACGGATGTCACTGGCAGGCCTTTGTGGTGCATGCCTCGAAAACGTCAATTATGGGTTTTTTTGAATTACTTGCTATCAAATAAATGTAGTCAAGATCATCTGGAAATTTTCTTCTGCTCAGTGCGGTAAGCTTTTTAAAGAAACAATTGTATTAGTTTTTTCATGCACTGGAATTACACAAATCTGCATTTATTTTTGTTTTCAGATCGAGAAACGGGTGGAACAATAACCCTACTCCTCTACAATTTTGTAAAACTTTTAAAAGATTGCTTCTATTTCTAAACATAACGGGAGAAGGAGGAAATTGTAAAGTGCTTTGCACCACCTGTATGCTCTCTGTTAGCAGTGGCCCAAAGCAAAAGAGCACAGATGTTCAACAATCGGTTGACGTGTTTGTCTTGAAAAAATATGGTCTCGATATTTTGACTGAAGCACTTGCAGATCATGACTACGGCTGTCTGCCTAATATATTGGTGGCTATGTTGTCAAAATGGTGCTGAAGACGTTTAAATGCACAGACTGCATTTCTTCTTGCATTAAAACACGAGGAAACGACTTACAGATTATTGGGCAAAAAAACATGGGTAAAATAAACTTCTTACAATAGTTATTTTTTAAGTCTTAACAAAATTTTGATTTTAGGTGGGCTTATTAAACCTTCTGCTAGGATTGTAAAGATTTGTTGTTACTGTAAGTTGCAAATACGAAAAATTTTTCAAGCGATAAAAGCATTCTTTTTCCTCATTTAGAGGACCACGCACTCGAGACGGCGGTCATCGATGAAGGCCATTTATATATTCTAATTAAACAAATAATTAATGCCTACATGCAACACGCAATTTTATTAAGGATTTTGTGTCTGCGCAAGTCGAAGCGCATTCTCCCTCTCCATATCTCTGTATTTCCCCCACGAACCTGTGCAGCTGCTGCCATTCTTCAGAGCATCTCATGAAATATATTGTTTATTTATTCTTGTTGGATATTCTCTCATTCCTTTAAAAGCATATTCTGAAGCTCATCTAAAGTGTGGCGTGCAGGTACACTCATCAATTAATGCTGGTCAAGAAACAACATCAAAAATAAGCGTAGTAAAAATGTCAAGCACTATACTCAGAAAAATATTAGCTAGCCCGTTTTTCATGCCGGTGAGTGTATGTATAAATTCAGCATTAGAGCTGAAAATTGTCATTTATAATATAAACTCCGTTGCCAAGTTGACGTTGATAGTAACATTGATGCTCAACTTTTGCCATATTTAAAGGGGTTGTAGAAGAAAAGTGGAGGATTTAAGTTGATTACAACAAAAATTCACCATTTTAAACATGTTTTAAGTTTCTTGTTGTCAAAATAAGTCTACACATACTAAGAAAAAAAAGCAAAATGTACCCGCCCTATCTCAAATGTGATGATTTTTTTTATTCATTGTAAACCAAAGGGCCGGAGCTTAACTGCATAATCCTTATTTCTCTAGGAGAAATTAAACACATGTTTTTGAGTATCGGGTTGCTCAAAGAATACTTTGTATATTAAGAAAAAAATAAAGCCGAAAATTATACCCCACCCATACCCGCCCCGATCTCAATTCTCAATTGTGATGAATTTTTCATTTCGTTGTCAGATCGAGGAGCGGGGCTTAATTGCAAGATCGATATTTGTTTACAAGAATTTACATTTTAAACATGTTTTAAGTTTCTTGTTCTGAAAAGACAACTTACTACGAGTACGCATATCAAGAAAAAATGCAAAATATAAGATTTTTTATAATCGTCGAGAGCCAAAGGAGCGAAATTTAAATCCAATTATTATTTCTGTCGCTACAACAATTTACCATGTAAGACATGATTTTGAGTATCGTGTTATTCAAGGGATACTATGTATATTAAGAAAAAATTAAAGCCAAAAATTAAGACCCACCTATAACTGCCCTGATCTAAATAGTAATGAAGTTTTCATTCGTTTCTGATAACCACAGGCATACGGGTACGGGATATTAAATATATATTACCAGATCCAAAAATTATAGGCAGTAGCCGAAGGCAATCGTCTTTTTTATTTGACGTTCATTTCGAAATGTCGCAGTTGAATTTACGCTAAGCATTTTGATCTAATTTTGACAGATTTTTTTAGTTTTTGTTATACTGTATATGTTTTCATTATATTAGAAGTTTTTTTTTTGTAGCCATTTTTAATTATTATACTTCAAAGTTTATACGCTGTGCCAATTTATAGTTTAGAAAGTTTAAGTTTAATATTTTCAAGAGTTGTGCATTTTATTATACGTTTTAAGACTGAATACGTGAAAGTAAGTCATAAAGTCAAGCAATATTCCTAAGTGATAAGTCTGACTGTTGATTTTATAAACACGTTAAATTGTTCGTAATTATTATAAGAGTTATAAATTTTGTGTTAATTTTGATAACAATACTCTTTAATAAGGATTAAAAACTTTATTTCATAACAAGTGGTGTCATTATTTCTTAACAAATAATTTATCATATAATAGGCAATTCGAATAGTGTACGATAGTGTGGACACAGTTAGCCAATTTCTTAGTGTTAGCGCCATCTATCGGCGGCATAACAGAGAGAGAGAGCGGTGCGCGGTTTTAAGAGTACGAGTACGACCCTTTGACGTTTAACGTGCGCGTGCAATAAGGGACGCGTAGAAAAAGACACGAGGTGAAACCCGCTGGCGCCAGCAGAAGACACAAGACAACCACCCCGAGTCTCATCCTCTTCTCCAAGAAAACCTCATCCACCAGGTAGGATTTTCATCCCTCTTATATTTCTTCATCTCAACTCAAATAAATTGGCTAGTTGCCTCGCTCGCAACACTTAGGGAGAAAAAAACACAAATTTATCAAAAATTAAAAACACAATATAGCAATTTTAATGCCAATATGTAGCTAACGAACCAGGGGTTTTGGCCAAAAAAAAAAAAAAAACGTTTGTTTTTATTGAATACTTACGAAATGTGATGGTGTTTAAATTTTTTGTGGTTAACTGTTGAACAGGTCACTCCACATCCTTTAATTTTTGCAGGTGCAAAAGGGGGAAGCCTGTGAATGTGAGAATGACTTCAATTACTCTGCCATTTGTCAACACTGCAGCGGTGCAACGTGCGAGAAAGCGGTGGAAACTAAGAAGTTTCGCTTAAGGGTGCCCAGTAGCAGACCGAAAAATGAGCTAAATAGATTTTTAATTTACGGGCGTAATTTCAACTTTGAAAAAAAGATCGACATTTCAATTGATAGATTATGTCTAAATCTCTGGGGAAGACACAATATTTTTTTAAATAAGTGATTGTTTAGTGTTTAATTAATCGTTCATTCTTCGAAGGAATTTGCATTTTTAGACGAGGAGAGAGCATTTTTCGCTTCAACTTTTATATCAGTGCAAAGACAACATTGAGCTCTATGGGGAAGACCCGGTCATTTTTGTTTAAAATTTATATTTATCAAAATATTTGCGTTTTAAAAAAATACTGAATAATGAAATTAAATTGAAACTAGGCAACTCTATTTACAAAGGATTCGTTTCCATAAATGGTTGAGTTTGACACAGCAGGGAGCCTTGCCGACCGACCCTTTCAGGTAATCCGTCCAGGTACTTTGGGTCATAAAAGTCATAAATACTTTTAGCTTACGAACATTGTTGAAACTCTTTTACAAGTCGACTTCTTTCATTGCTAACATAATTTGAATTAAAAGTATGCAAATTTTTATAATTTTATACATTCTACTATAACATTTTCTTACAAAAAATGATTCCAGTATTTTTTACTAATCTGTCATTCTATATATAAATCAATACACAAAACTGACAAGATTTAGATTCTCATCACTTCACTAACCACTTATTTACCTGAACAATCATATTTATTTAAATTTAATTTTTTGATACTCTTTTCCGCACTACCTATGAGGTAGAGTATTATAGGCACGTTTTTTACGTGATATCTCCAGTAAACCTATTCCAATATCAAACATCAAAAGTTGAAAAATCGAAAAACCGAAAAGTCGAAAAATCTCAATAATGTAAACCACAAGTTCAGGATTATGCTACTAAAAAATTGATAACATCATCTCAAAATTTTGCTGAATAAATTCTACTAAAAATGTGCAAAATATGATGAGTTTTTACTTGTAATTTATCATTGCATTCATATTTTTTTGGATTTGCTGATATACCTAGGTGGCTCAAAAAAATTAATGAATGAATCAATTTATTCTATTGATTAAATGAGTCTCGACTCACTCCATTTTCCCAGAAATTTTTGGAATACTGTTATTTTTAGTCTAATCCACATTAATTTACGTGTCCTTGCAAAATGTTGATGATTTCATCACAAAATTGTGTACCTAAAGTAAAAATTTAACTCGAAAATGCTGGATATGTTTCATTGTATTTTACGTGCGAGGGAAGTTCTGTCGAAACAACTTTCCACCAATTTTTCTTGCTGTTATATTTGAACATAAACAGTTTATTTTATATATTTTTAAAACATTATAAAGAAAATAAAAAGTTGTGTTAGACTGAACCTTGTGGGTTTCTCAATCTATTTTCCGCAGCATTTTAAACTTTCAACTCAATTTCTTTCAAAATAGATAGAAATGGATTTCGATGGTTATTTCCCTGTACCCTTCATTTCAAAATAAATAAGCTTATCTGGTGTTGTTTACCGATTTGCATTTTATGACGGACTCCCTACAGTGACCATAATCTCTCCTCTCTTGGGTCGCTACCTGCCGTGCATCCGTTCTTTGGGTTGCATAGTTACAAAAAATAATTCTTCTCACTGAAACCGATTTTGCGGGCGACGACTGGGGACCCTTAAGGAAGCGAAGAAGAAATGAAGCACGAATGTCCTTCACTGTTAAAAGCTGAGTTCGATTCGGAGATTGCTCTCAACAAAGTTACGTAAATTCGAGAATCCTGTTATTTTCGTCGGCGACGTTCCGACAGAAGAATTGCAACTGGGCTCTCAAAAAATACATTTGAATAGTGTCAGGACGGCTTTAATTAAAACCACTTTATGACTGAAAATACATGTGTTATCACACCTCAAAGTTTTTCTTCATCTAGTTTTCCATCTATTCCTGTACATACTTTCTTTTTTATTATTAATGTTAAATTTAAAATTAATAAATGTTTTTAATAATCGTATTATTTAAAAAATACACTCTTTACAAACTTGTTGTCAGTAACCGTTAAACTAACGGCAGCTTTTTTTCCTGGAAACAATTTTTACCCCCTCCCTCCCCCCTCCCAACACAAAACCTCATGCCCAATTGACTGTAGTATATCAATCAGAACAAAGTTGTAAATTTCTTAAAAAGTTTATTTAATTTACTGTTCATGCAGCAGTCTTCGGCTTACAACGTGAACAAACTTGCTGTTTCTGTTAAACATCGACAACCGCATCCAGATGGACATACGTCGCGTTTTTCGAACCATTGTTTTAAATGTTTGGTGTGTCCTCCATGACCACAAACCATGCAACAGTTTGCAGATCCCCGTACAGACAAGTGACATATAATGCAATTCAACGAAAATTTCTTGCATGTACTGCAGGTACAATGTTTGGTGGACTTTGCACAGTTTTTACATTCTGTAGAAAATTCGACACCTTTGTGGCTTTCGGGAGGTCTGCACCGAAACTTTAACACTTCGGCACGATTATATAACAGTCCCCATCTATGGAGTACCTCCGCGTACGACAATTTAAAGTACTCGTATAAGTGGAATTCCTTTTTCCGACAGGGAAATTTTTCATGACCATTTAAACGAAGATTGTCTAGAGAGGTTGACCTCATCGGTTTCAAGGAAGCTAGGACCCATCCCTCTGTCGATATCTCAGTAGGAGGGATTGTGTGATAGGATGAAGCGTCATTCTGAAAAAACAAAGATAAAGTGATGATCTGGGAGATATACACACGAAAACCAAAATAGAAAACCCGTTTGACAAAACGCTGCATTTTAGACAGTAGTTTGAGTTCCACTATTATAAAATAATTTATTATTATATTGTTGAAAAAAATAAAAGCGACACTAACAGAAAAAGAATAGGAAAAAAAAACAGAAATGAAAAAGCTAAAACAACTCACCGCAGAAATAAAAAGGGTTTTTTTTGAAGACTGTCGGCTGTATTTAATTTGATTTTTACCAAAGATGCAAGAAAGCATTGCGGCCATTTGGATATCTGAACGGGAAGCATAATGAGCAATTCTGCAACGAAATGAAAATGTATTATGTCATTCTAAATTGTGTTGATTACTTACAAAGCCTCTGAAAGCTGACTTCCAAATGGATGATTAAACCAATGTTCATCTTTATCTATAGAAGATGCAATAAGTTCTGCCAACGTCCATGCTTGTACTAAATCCCACCGTCCTGCGACTGCTGCCGTCGCTGCATTATGTTTGCAAATGGTTGCCGTATCTCCATCTAAAATATACTCCTCCGCCAACTGCCTATTCGTCAAAAGTAATCCAGAAACATCGTACACATGTACAATTGCTTTCGACGGATTCTTTGCGTGTTTAATCCGAAAGCGTGGTTTCTGGTAATAATATGAGGACACCGTGACATGATCCGAAGAGCGTTTAGAAAAAATTGTTTCCAAGGCGGACAAAGCTCGTGGGGTGGTTGTCTCCAGTTTTCCCGAAAACCTTCTAGTGTGCGGAGCTCGACCGAAACAAACCAAAATTCCCACGGAACAAAATTTCGCTCCTGAGGTACGAGGAAAAGGAATATATGCATCGTTGTATCCGCCAAAAACATTAGAAGGCTCTGTATACGAAGGGTCAAATATTCTATCATTCTCGGAGTCAGCAGACAGTTGCTCTAAAGTCGTAACCATCTGTCGTAAACACGATTCTAAGCAAGTACGATTTTTTGAAACTCTTTGTTGAGCCAAATGATTTAAAGTCTGTAAAAGCTGGGCTCCAACAGAATCGTTTAATGTTGATTCTTTGAGAATTTGAAAAACTGGAGGTACACCATGCGGATAAGCATTGGGGAACGAAACTTGTAGATTTACGGAAAAACTATTAACGTTGGCGTAAACAGTACACGTTCGAGTTACTGGATCCATAGCTGTAACTTCTAAGTTTGGTATATGTACATTTAAGAGAGAAAATTCTTGTTGTAGAGGTTGTATTTTAGGAGAAGTTTTCTTTTTGAGTTTTATAGCTTCTGGCGACTCAGAGTTAATCACAACGTCTTCTTTAGTTTCATCCGGTTCGTGACCACACAATTTTTGTAAAAATGGTTCAATTTTCCACACAAGTAAGGTCTGATCTTTAGACCACGTAATTAGTTGGAAATCAGTTGATCCTGGGGACTGTTTTCTCCATTCAAACTCTAAGACCACGTCTCTATGTCCAACGAAAGTATGCATAGGAGTGGAGCGGTTCGCTGTATTCCACAACAATAAACTGTTTTCCCCCCTTCGTAGCTGGGGAACTACCACAGTTACTAGACCGTTGCCAAAAGGTGTAAACCTTGCCCGCCACACTGGAGCATTAGTAGTCAACACGTATTCCGCGCGTCGTGGATTCGTCATATCGAAAAATTTTACGGTATTATCCTGACTTGATGTAGCTAACTGAGTTTCTACATTTGGATTCCAATCTAAACCATGAATTTTTGATAAATGAGCCGCGACGTACTGAACTGGAGCAGTTCCTTTACGTTGATCCCAAATTTTTATATCTCCGTCATGGGCAGTTGCTAAGAGATGGGACGATATTTTATTCCATCTCACTTGAGAAGCTTCTGCTATTGCAGACAAGGATAAAGACGGGCGTCGTGCATCCCTCAAATCCCAAATATGTATGAAAGTATCAACCGAACACGATGCTAAAATGTTTGGATCGGAACGATGCCAATTTAAATCTGTTATGACCCGTGTATGTGCCCTCAATGAATGTGCCTGAATTAGTTCTTGTGAGCGCCAGGTTAAAACTTCTAATCGTTGATTACTCTAAAATTTATGCCCATAAACTTAAAATGTAAAAGACTTCACTACCTACCGATATCACGCAAAGTTCACGTTTATGGTTGGTTGGATTCCATTCGGCTGCTCCAACATCATACTTGCTTTGCCTGGGAAACTTTTGTACGACTTCTAGCTCTTCATCTAGGTTTCTGATAGCAATGTATCTGCGACTACAAATTACCGTCAAAATGTAATAGTATCTAACTATATACCACTGGAAGCGTGAAAAAAGTTGTCATAGCGTGAAAAAATGTGTCATAGAAGCCTGCCGTTGCTATGACGATTTATCAACACATTTGTCAGAAATTAAAATGCATCCAAAAATTTTGTACTTTAATCCGTATTTAAGTGTTTTGTATTAGATTTCTCGGTGTTTTGTGGTAATTTGTGTGAGACGGTAAGTACGGCTACATTTAATATCTATGTTCCAGAATAAAAAGTTTTTGAAGTAGGTAGTTGTGGATTTTTGTTAAAACGTGAAAAAAGTTTTGTATGCAACTCGTGAGTAATGGCTATTTATTTTTTTTTCGCTCGGCGGATTTGCGCACTCGCCTTTGGCTCATGCGGCAAATTTTCCTTAGCGTGAAAAAAAGATACACTTTACTCACTAGTTGCATAAATAACTATTCATTAAATTTCTTTTGTGAAATTAAAGACACTCAAATAAAGCTATTTTGAAAACCAAATACAGAGTCATCAAAATTGATTGAGAGAGTTGGTAAACCTGAACTTGAATAATTTGGTTTATTAAGTTGTATAAAAATATTAGCTGTCAAATTTGAAGTTTCAAGTTTCAAATTTCAAAACTCAGTGGCGTCTTTTTTAGATTTTTTTTTTTTTGGTAAAAATATTAGTTGTCAGATTTGAAGTTTCGAATTTTTGTCACGCCACTGAATTCATTGCCATATAACCTTAAACAAATCTGTCATAAGGTTGACAAACTTCACGACAAAAACAGGGGGTACCAACTCTCTCAATCAATTTTGATGACCCTGTACTCATCCTTTAAATAAACCTTTCTTCTTGTACGTCTAGTATAATTATTACAACTTCATGCTATCATAATTCATGCTGGGGTTACAGTTCAGTTATTTAACATTACTTACATATTAAGCTAATTTTTGTACTCTTGGTTTCATATTCACTGCATAATGTATTCACATAGAAATTTTAGAAGACTCTTCTCTTAAATATACAATATCAATTTTTTCCACTTTTTTTAATTTCCAATATTAACATAGAAACCGCTATGTTTAAATCAAATAGCATCTAGTATGAATGCATGTTTGAAGATTATATACCATGACTGGAAAAAAAAAACTCCTTTAGTGAGCCACGGATTTAATTTTTTCAAAAATTGGTGACAGTTTCCTATTGTAGTTACCTGTCAGTTTGAAATTTATATTGTCAATGTAATAAAAAAAAGCTTGCAGCAGAACATACAATTTTTATGTCCAGTTAATACTGAAATGGAGTCAAGCAAGAAAAGGAAGAGTGGTCTCTAATGCAATGGATAGAAGAATTATGCCAAAAATTTCCCATAACCTCAAAGAACGATATACTTAGAGTGCAGACTTCGTCAACATAATTTCCTAAAAAATTAATTCCATGGCTCACTAGAGGTTTTTTTTCCTCAACAATATGGTAGTAAATCTGTGTAACAGAAATATAATAGGATAAACTCCTTTCAAGTCAAGTCAACGGTGGTCCCATTTAGGTAATTTTTGCATGTTGCAGCGGGTTCTGATACATATCACAATTGATGAACACCGAAAGACCGAAGAAAATTATAAGTCGGAGTGCAGTGTCCTTGCACCTCAGCATGTAGATACAAAGATGAATTATGTTGCCCTTGATGTCACGGTCTAAGTAATGATTTTAATTGTTATTTTATTTACTTACCCAGCCAACAATACATAGGTTCCGGAATTATCCACAGCCATTGCATTTGCCTGCAAATCTCTTCCTTCGAGAGCAATATAATATTCATTATTCCACGTAACGGCCATTATAATAAATAATCCTTTTTTAAGAATCTGGAAAGATTATCACTAAAACAGATTTTGAGTATAAAATCATTTTACTTGGTTACTTCAATTGTTGTATAAAATTAATTAAAAAGTACTTACGTGATTGTATTCTGAAATATCACGTTGAAAATAGGATATACTGTAGAATAATCGGGTTAGGACTAGAGGGTTAACAAGCCTTCTTTGATAAATCTTTGATGGATATCAGCTGTTCAATGTTTACAAATACCGACAACACTATTTGTAGATACACAATTGCAAATAGTACTTTGGTAAACTAATTAAAAACCACCGACAACACTATACAAGAAATACAAATTTTAGAAAGAACCGGCACGAAAATAAAATTTCAAAAAATAAATACAGCCCCCCAATAATCAGAATGTGAAATTGCAGATTTCTGTAAACTCCGACAATCAACAAATGTCAAAGTCGTTTATTTATGTTCATCTTCACATTTCACTTGTAACAGAAGTTTCAAAGAAAATAACGTGCGATTTTTTAAATTTGTAATCTAGTGAGTGTGTATACACCACACATCTGTCAGTGTCAAATTAAAATGAGGAATGCGGAACAGTAACGTCTAACCTAAAAAGTGAAAATTGATGTATAACGGGTTGCGGAAAATGTATCCAAACACAAATTATAGACGATAATAATATTGTATCGAAAAACAAAATATCGAAATTACAAATTATAGAAGCATAAATAATTGAATGTTCAAATTATCGAAAGTGCATAATATCGACACATAAAGGTACCTAAACAGACACGTTTAAATGAATGCTAATTTTCAATCAAAATTGTTCTAACTTATAATTAATTATATGACAGGTTTGAATCAGGCGAATCAATATTGAGATAAGAAAACAAATTTTGCGAAAGTGGTGCTCCGAAAAACTGTCGTTGCGGGAACTGGCTACAATGACGAAATATTCAAAATCAGTAGTATTCCAATAAGTAATCAAAAAATTGGGAGAACATAATACTTTAGCAAATTTTTCTAAATCCAGACGTACAAAAGGCCTAGTTAATAACAACATTGGGGAAAACGTCTTTAAGCTGCTAAAATCAACCAAATATAATCCTGTTCGTGCAGGAAACAGCGGAGAAGCAAAGCGTCAGATCAGTACTGTAAAAAATAATGTTGAGTTTTTGAAAAAAGAAGATAACCCACCGAACTATCCTGAGCTCCGTCCGATTGATCGCCGTTGGGCAAATGTGAAAACTCCAAAGTATGTAGTAGCAATCTGAAGTTACGCATATTTTATGTTAGTGTCGTAATAGTCAGTCTCGCCATTTGAAAAAGAATTTGTGATTCTGTACTATATCTTTAAACGTGCCATTTTCTGTGGAGCAGAATACTTCTGTAGTAGTCACATACTTTCGTAGTGGAGCACAGGATGAATTTGGGTTTTGGAACGATTCAATTGATGCCTATTACGACCAGTTCATTGGCATGTATTCTGAGACATAAACTGCGTTTCACCTAGATTTAGGTGGTGCACACTCACCTGGGAACATCATATTAGTTGTTTGTCAAAGGATCTCGCTACAGCTAACTTTGTGTTGAAAAAACTCGCTTCAATTCTAAATTCTGATGTTCTACGTACAGCATAATTTGCTGTTTTTCACAGTAAAATGATACAGGGCTTTTATAAATGATTCTATGGACGTAGTTGGCTATGGATTTCAAAAATTCCGCTTCGCTGAAATTACGCCCGTGATTATGCCTCATTATCACAGTTCTCACTTGTCACATTAATGTCTAATGTTATCATTGACCTATTATATACAGAGTTAGTCACGAGAAAATTATCTCTGAAAATTATTTTTACGCAACCCAAAATACTAATACCCCTTATCCCTTGATACTATTTGAATTTAAAATGAAATGCTTAATCCATGATTGTTTTGACTTTGGTAGTGTCCGTCTGGCGTTAGTTAATTTTTACATTTTTCTTCATCGTTTACTCCGCTCTGCAACCCCATTGGATCGACGTACCTCTCTCAATCTGCGCTCTTTTGAAGCCGTAGTTACTCTAGCAATATCTTTCCCCGCTAGTGGGCATGTGTTAGTTCGCCACCTCTACGTCAATTAGAGCCTCTTCGAAGTACAAATCTGTAGCCTCTGGGCCTCTTCGAGCACCCAATTATAAAAACGCCGTAGCATCCCCCCAACATGCCAACATTTTCAACAGTTGTTGCAGTAGTTAAATTACTTAATTACTCTTTCAAGTTTACGTTGTATCCTTTGAATAAAATATCGTAAAAGTAATTTTTAGAAATAATTCTTTCATAACAAACTTTAAAATCAAGAGGTACTCGAAGCAAGCCCTAACAAATTTATTAGCGGCGCCAGCGTAGTCTATCTCCGAGTGGCTACGGTACGACCATGGACACTCGCGTAACCTCCTTCCCGGAATTGTCAAAATGACACTGCCAAAAGTGCCAAAGTCAAAGCAATCATGGATTAAGCATTTCAATTTAAATTCGGTTAGTATCAAGTGGTACACGTTATTAGTATTTTGGGTTGCGTAAAAATAATTTTCTCGTGACTAATCTGTATATGGACCATGGAGGAAAGAATCATATAATCGTATAATTCTTTTCTCCATGATATGGACTGAGTGCAGGCGTATTAAATGCATTGGAGTCGGTGTTGTCAACAAGAGCAGGCAACCACCAATACACATTAAGGGCAAAAGACTTGCGAAGAGCATGTACATACGAAGCATTAGTTTTCAGGTTTTTTTCCAGTATATCAGTGGCGGCTCGTGACTATTTTGGTTGGGTCGGCAAGCAGTGCGTGACCGAAAGTTTTAAGATATGGAATACAAGAAACAGGGACCTCAAGTTAGTCATTATACAGGGTTAGTCACGAGAGAATTACTTCTGAAAATTATTTTTACGCAACCCAAAATACGAATACCATGTACCATTTGATACTAACTGAATTTAAAATGAAATGCTTAATCCATGATTGCTTTGAGTTTGACAATCTCATTTTGACAATTGTGGAAAAGGAGGTTACGCGAGTGTCCATGGTGGTACCGCAGCCAGTCGGAAATCTCCTCCGGCGCCGCTAATAAATTTGTCAGTGTGCCTCTTGATCTTTTGCAACTGATTAATCACGAGAAAATTATTTCTAAAACTTCCTTTTACGGCATTTTATTCAAAGGTTACAACACAAACTCAAACAAGTAAGTAAATAATTTAACTACTAATCTGTTGAAAATGTTGGGCATTTTGGGGGGATGCTACGGCTTTTTTGTAAATGGATGGCCGAAGAAGTCCAGAGGTTGCAGATTTGCACTTCGAAGAGGCTCTAGGTGACGCAGAGATGGCGAATTAACACATGCACATTAGCGGGGGACAACATTGGTAGAGCACTTACGGCTTCAGTATAGCCCAGATTGATCTGATTGTATGTCGTCGATTCAATGGGGCTCTAGAGGCGATTCAACGATGAAAAAAAATGTTAAAAATTAATTAACGTCAAAGTGACACTGCCAAAGTCAAAGCAATCATGGATTAGGCATTTCATTTTAAATTTAGATAATATCAAGTGGTATAGGGTATTAGTATTTTGGGTTGCGTAAAAATAATTTTCAGAAGTAATTCCCTCGTGACTAACCCTGTATATAATTTGCTACCTGTATGGTGTTGATTCATATAGACCTAACAAATTAGCAAATTTGAATTTTGCAAATTATAAATATTGTTCAGCAAGTACTACCCGAAGGTCTGAGGTCTTCCTCGCCGGGATTGGGATAAGGATAGGTTTGTTAGTAATGGAAGTGTGGGATGTATTAAATATAAAAATAATGAATATTATTAATAAGTGCAAAAATCAACTTTTTTCTAAAACAAAATAAAAAATATTCTTGAAATACGTATAAAGTAAAGCGTATATGTATACATAAAATCATTCACAAAGAATTAGCAATACTTATGAACTTAATCGAAGTTACGACACCCTATTACACTTACATTCCATCTCCGTTCCTTGAAAATAATAAATAAAATTATACTGGGATCGCACAATACTTACAGACTTAAACATTACAGCTAACAGACCAGACATCATGCTTATCAAAAAACACGCGAACGAAGCCATTCTCATTGACATTGCTATTCCTAACACAAACAACATTATTCAAATATACCACACCAAGATTTCAAAATATCTACAATTATCGATAGAAATGAAATCCATGTTGAATCTTAAAAAAATTTCAATTCTACCCCTAGTTATCTCTAATGTAGGTAAATACCTTAGTTGAGAATTTAAAGTCTTTGCATTTGAATGATTCAATAATTGTCAAAATTCAAAAAGCTGTTTTGTTAGGAACATGTCATATTGTTCGTAAGTTTCTCGAACAGTCTGATCATGTCAGTCAGATTAGATTAGCACCAGTAGGTCAGAGTAGTATAGGTCAATTTCCAAGTGATGCGCGGATAAATAATCGGTAGTTAAGCTAGACTTTTGGGGATGGGGTGAGATTAGAGAGTAATAACAGACTAATTTGTATGCTGTAATTCTAGAATCTCGAAAGTTGCTTTATTAATCTAATCAATGCATATCATTACTTGGTCTTAGTACCCGTAATGATAGATAGAAGTCTTGCCTGAATGCCGGTCATTTCCGGGTCAGTGGTGGGTCTTAAAAATAACATTTAAATTATAAAATAAAAACACATTCTAACAAAAAATACAATATGAAACATCAACAACTATTTATTAGTAAAAAACGAACTAAAAAAGTAAATTAAAAATTTTTATAGACCAATTCAATGCGTCTCTGCTTTGTATTGGCAAAATGGTCAATTACTTGATTATAGAATTTTTGATCTTCAGTCAAGTTTATGAGCAGTTTTTTTTCTATTGCTAAAACGGATAATTTGGATAATCGATTTTGACTAATAGAGTTTCTAGTAAAATTTTTAATTCGCTTTAAAGCTGAAAAACTACGTTCAACAGATGCTGACGTGGCTGGTATGGTTAAAGATAGAAGTTTGTAAATTTCTGGCACAATATTTTCGAGCGACTTGGAACAAATAAAATGTAACATATCTTGAAACGAGGAGGAGTCGCCAAAAGTAGTTTGATCGGAATATAAAATCTCCAGTTCTTTTTCCAATTTAGTCTTGTCTGATAAGTTTGAATTAAGACCATTTAACAAGTGATGAGGAAATGTCTTTTGAAATTGGGAAAATTTTATTCGATCTACGAGTTCAAAAAATTGTAAATCTTTCAAATCGGCAAATCGACACGCTATTTGATTTCGAATGAAATCCAAAATTTCGTAAAAAATTCTTTTATAGTAAATACTGTCATTTTCTTCGTTATCAATTCTCCGTTTTTTAAAAGGGAGACCCAAAATACTTGTCACTTCGTCAAAGACATATTCGTTAGTTTTTAAAATTTTCAATTGTCTCTAGAAGTGTTTCTATTCTTTTTCTACAATACGGAATATCAGATAATTTATTTTGAAGAATAGACAAAATTTAATCTGTCTGTTGAAAAATTTTATCAAATATTTTCAATAAAAATAAAAATTTGAAATCATTTAATATTTTTTTGAAACCGGCGGCTTCATGAGTCGAGTCGTG